TGTTGTTAAATCTACAGAGATTTTCTTCTGTGACACTAGAGAGAGAAGTCTAAAGTTGATGTAGCAGCAGCTGACTCCAACTACAGATTAAAGATCTCATTGCACAGCCTGGTCAAGGGAGCCAAGCTAGACTGAGCTTTGGACAGCCTGATTCTAAATATCTGTTGGATTTTTTAGCCTCTGTTGGGTACTCTGTAGTCTCATAGCTTTGAATGGTGATTGCCAGAATCATTTAGGATTTGCTAGGATCTTCTCCCCTCTTTGCCCCATGAAAAGTTTTTATTGGTGTGCTAAATCTTTCACCTCAGTAACTAATATGACCAATCCCACTCAACTTGCTCAGACAAATTTTCAGGAACTCAGCCACCACTGGGCCCAGCTTCTCAAGCTGGATGAAAACCTTTGAGTGAGGACATGTTACCAGTGACCTCTCAGAGCACAAATGTTTGTGGCTGTGCTTAAACAGAATCAAGATTGACACAGTGGGTCTAATCTTTCTGTGATTAAGACATGAAGTGAAAAACATGCAGTAGGCGACATGATTATTTTTTAGCCACTTCAATTCAATTACACTTGCATGGATTAATGAGGATGGAATGGACATTTCATGCTACAGCTACAATGATACACATCTGGGAACTTGCATACCACTTTCTTCTGTGTCCCTTCAAGAATTAAAATGACAAAACCGGAATAAATAGCTCAGCTTGTTATTTTGCTGAACTACAGGACTGCTAAATATTTATAAGACATAATGAAGTCCTGGTTTTGAGCTAATATTTTCCCTCTAGAACAGATTTCTCCAGTGGCTGTCAAACATCTTCACATTAGCTGTTGCCAAATGTGAGTTTAACAGCCCATCTATAGCTGGGAAAAGAAGATGAAAGTTGGCCACATGATGTTGAGTAAACAAACAGTCCCTTTTGCCTCTGAGAAATACTTTCCGCTACACCAGGGAGGCCAGAGGATAACTCAGTATCACTAAATGGTCACTGTTTTCCAGACTATCCACAAAAGATTCAGCCTTTGAGAACTTGGCTGGCCCATTCTTGTTGCAAGATTTCCAAGGCCACCAGTATGTTCATCACTGCACATCAGTCACGATGAGTTCATTCCTCTTTGGTTGGCACAACCAACACCAGCACTGTGGTGTAATTCCAGGGCATCTCTTGTAGACGTCTGATAGCAGGAAACTGAAAGATCTTAGGCTGTTTAAGTCTGACAAGATTCATGGAAAGTTGCCAAAAAGATCTGGTCTGCATTTAAATAATGATTTTAAATAATACAGGTTTAAGATCTGTTCTAGCACAGCTACAAACCTGATCTTGTAATACACCAGTTACAAGTTTCTCCCTCTATGAGGGTATGACAAACCCTGAAGGTTTACAGTCCTATGTGTGTCCACAAAAAAAATGAAACAAAAGTTTCACAGATTCTCTGAGAGACAGCATTGGGAAAACCTCTGAGAAAATGTAACAAGCTGGCACAAGAATAGTAAAGTCTCTGGCTGAGGTAACAGCAAGAGCAGGAACATTCACAATTTTAGGCAAAGTCTGCAGGTTATAAATAAACAAATATCTGTCTCAGGAGAGAGATGGGGAAGAAGAGGATAGGTATGATAGCCTAAAAGACAAACATGCTGGTCCACTGCTTTAACCCAAAGCCTTGTTATCCTTCTACTGCTCACTCCAGTACATTTTAGGCCCTTCCCTCTCACACCTTTTCTGGTGCAATTCCTATGTCAAAGGTTTCTAAAGATCTTTAGAAGCTGCCAAAAAGCAGAAAAGCATTCCCATATCTACATTAGGAAGTAGCTTGTTTCCTACACTGGCAGTGAGGAACATACTGCAAGGTACAAATGAAGACATGGGAATAACTTGACAACTAGAAGAAGAGGAGAACTGAAGGGAGACCTCATCACTGTCTACAACTTCATCATGAGGGGAAGAGGAGGCAGTGAGCTCTTCTCCGTGGGGACCAGGGACAGCACCCGAGGGAATGTTCTGAAGTTGTGTCAGGGGAGGTTTAGGTTGGATCTCAGGAAAAGGTTCTTCCCCCAGAGGGTGGTTGGGCACTGCCCAAGCTCCCCAGGGCAGTGGGCACAGCACCAAGGCTGCCAGAGCTCAAGAAGCATTTGGACAATATTCTCAAGCACATGGTGTGACTCTTGGGGTGTCCTGTGCAGTGCCAAAAGTTAGACTAAATAATCCTTGTGGGTCCCTTCCAACACAGAATATTCTGTGATTCTCTGAATTAAAGGGGAAAGATACTTTATATTCATCAACACTACCTGCTGAAGTGTGTAGCAGTCAGGGAAGCCCTTCCAAAGTATTTAAACGTTCCCGATGTCTGAACAGGACAGTAAACTTTGCGAACTCTGGGGTGTAGGTGTGTGCACAGGGGGTGTCCAGGCTCCATCCCTCCCGGCGAGGCTCCAGGCTCAGCCCATCCCGGCGCACACGGCGGTGGCACGGCCCCGCATTTCACAGGGGCCAGAGCCACCTGCTGGTGCCACACGGTTTGTCAGGCCCGGGCACCGCAGGGGACAGGGAGAGGAATGCTCAGTGACTGCTCCCCACTGCTGGGACAGCCAGGTGACAGCCCTGAGCCGGCCTCTTTTCTTCCAGCATGGCATAAAGGCAGAGAGAGCGATGTCTCCGTGCTCTGGTGGCAGCAGCTGGTGAGCAGAAGGTAACGAGCACAGCAGACTCAGCATTAAAATTAAACTCTTCTCCCAGCACTCCTGGTATGGTCTAGCTGGGAACAAACAGGCAGCCTCACCTAAGGCAGTAAGTCTGTGCCCAGCTAAGCTCTTGTCCCCAGGTACTGGGGAGGTGCACGACAGAAGTCTCCCAGCTGTGCATGGCACCTTTTGGGCTGGGGTCCTGCCAGTCATCACATACCTGAAGAACTAGAGAGGCTTACAAAATACTCTGTTCCCCACAGTCTCTGCAGCAGTCCCTGCATGAGGTGACCAGGTGCAGACTTTAACAGTGAGAAATTTATCCATATTTTCAACAAGGAAGTATATAGTACCACTACATCATGCACAGCACTTTCATATCCAGTGTCTTTTATGACTAAAGCATAAACTGGGATCATTAATATAAGCTGTTGCAGCCTTGGAGTTAAAAATCTTAAAATTAGATTAAATTAAGTCATCATTTAATTTTATATTTGTTTTACATGATCTACAGCTCTGTACAAAAGCAACAGGTTTGTTCTTACACAACAAATCTGTGTAAGAATCAAAGATTCTGCATTCTGCTGCACTACTGCTGCCTCAGGGACATACCCAATCCTAAAACTGATCCATCAACTTCAGAGTATTACTTCAGTAATTTGCAGTTTTCTTCTCAGCCACATCCTACCACAGGAAGGACAGGTGCACACATTCACCATGCCCAAAATGCTTCAAATGAAGTCCACAAGCAGCAGCTAAAAGAGATGGCTGTGGCAGAGGAGTCTCTGCTTCCTCTCTCCACCGTTTTACTCCCACATGAACATGGGTTTGGTGTTGAAAAAAGGATTCTGCTCCATTTCATTTGTTTTGCTACATTTACCCAGAAATTCTTGAAATCCAGGCTTAGGCCATGGTAAGAAGTTCACTTGTACCTAGCTCAGGAATATTGTGTGAATCATAGATGATTCAGTTGCATGCCCCATTTCTAGACAGCATATAAACACCTACAGCACTGCCAGCTGGTCAGTCTACATACATTTACACCCCCTATTCACCTTTAGAAATTCATACATATTTTTTAACTCCCTCAGATCCCAGTTGGGAACTACCATGAAATTTGTCTCAGCTGTGACTCTGAATTTACTTCTATGACAGCAGTGCTCAGGGATTTCAGCTGATGTCAGAGATGCACCGACAACTTGACAATGATGGGTTTCCATCTGGGATTTCCAAGAAGTAAAGCTGCAGCTTTTTTAATTCAGCCAGGGAGCTGGTCATAAGCACTGGGGCAACACCAGATGCTTGTGACAGCAAGTGATCAAAGCCTTCAGTACTGAGAGAGCAGAGGCAGGGCTCTTGACACTATGATAATAAGTAGTTTGTTTTCCTATTTCCAGATGAAGCCTCATGACTCTGTGCAAGAGTTGTACACAGTGTCAGAAAGCAAACCAGTTTTGCTTGACAGAATATTATGACCATTCAACTCAATGTTATTGTCCCTTGATTAAGTAACTCCAACAGTGTTTAATCAATGGTACAGAGACCTTCTGAGGCAGAAATAGCAGCTTGGCACCCAACTGTGGCTGGCTTTTCCTGGCTAGATTATGAACCGCCAAACAACTCCTCTGCATTCTGTTTTTCTTATTCTACCCCAAAGTGCTGTGATAGAGATATCTGCAGTGTTTGGGCAGGCACTGTCAGATGGAGAATTTAAAAACCTGGCAAGGATACATCTCCCTGTTTAATAATCCATGCAATTTACATTTTAATTCTGAAAAAGCGTCAGTCATTGGAAATGAAGCAGACACGAAACTTCGTGAAAATACGGCATACTTGTTCTTTAAGGGGATTTAAAGTACAGGAAACTTGTATCTCTAGAGGCTCATTTAGTTGCTTTGGTGCCTAATTAGCAACTTGAGAGGAGCCTCACCGTACCCACCGTAGCGCTCTCCAGCAAACAAAGGCAGAGAGCCTGTTTCATCTGCAGAAACCTAATTCAGGAGTGTGATATACATGGCATCATCCCAGGTGAGACTGAGTTCTCCTCAGACAACACAGTGCTGCTGCATCAAGCACAGCAGCATTGCCATGAGAGATCTCCACTCAAAAGCTGACCACTGCCTTTAAACACCACTCTGGTTATTCACTCAGGGAGAAAACAATCCAGAATACGAAAAGCACATGCAAGGTTCGACTCTAAAGCAGGTTTCTGCCCAGACATCATAAATAGGTTAGACTGCACACAAAGCTTCCATAAGCAATAAACCAAAGCTTAATGCTCTCATAACTCATGCCCAGCTAGGACTGGTGTACGCACCAGGAGCGGAGATGCGCCGTTTCCAGCCCACGCAGTCCAGGCCTGTCGGAGTGCTCTGCGAAAATGGGTGCAGTTTCAGTGGCAGGATGTCAAAGGCAACAGGAGATGTGATGGATGGACTTATTCCAGCCTGCAACAGGAGAGGAAAAACAAAGGCAACAAACATTAAACTAGTCCTGTAGGACAAAATATAGCACCTCTTTCCACCTCTGGTACCTGCTGTTGTAAGTAAGCAGAACATTAGTAGACGCACATGGATAATTACAGCTAGAGAGGTTAAAAAACAGTGAGAAGGCAGGAAAATTGCAAGTAATAAGAACAGGAGAAGTGGATAATCAGATACTGGATTCATACTTCACATACAACCACACACACCTACATTCACAGAATGTTTCACTCCTTCCTAAGTGTTTCTAGTGGGAGGGAAAAGCACATCAACTCAAGTCATCCCCTCAGCTACAGAACTGTTCCTACAGCTTTATAACAAATAGTTCCTGTTCTGGTATTTTAATATGCAAATAAAGCTTTTTCCTTCAGAGATTTATTGGTACCAGTCCCCAGCCATATAGAATGTGGATAACAACATTCTTCTCTTCAGTTAAAGGTACAAATAAGAACTCTTGCTTTCTCCTCTACCTGGCTGATTGATTTTACAAAACTTACAGAACTTTATAAAACTTTGAAAACTCTTTTGAAAGCATTGACAGATCTGAATGAACTTTAGCTGGTTTAAAGGGGAAAATGTATAGATACATACATATAGCTCATGACTTCTGATACAGAATGTAGCAATTCATGCATAATGCAGGGACACTTTTATCCCTTTTTCCTTCTCTCTCCCCCATACCTCCTGTGGCTGGCATACAGAGAAAACACCAGTGACTGCAGGTGACTGGGAGATCAGCTGGTCAGTAAGCACTGGTTCCACAGGCATAACCAGTTTGCATTTCTATCGCCTACACCCCTTCCTTTTCCTGCTGGGACATTAAGTTACCACATATCCATCCTTCACTGGAGACAAAATTTGGTATATTGGTTTACTGAGGTCCAGTAGTTTATCTAGGATCTTTCCTTCTCCCTACCAGCCCACATGATGCCCCATCAGCATAAAGTCTGCTGACTAGCCTTGATGCTGAAGCCTCCTCTTTAGAAAATGGTCATTAGTCAAAATCTCCTTCCAAAACTAAGCAGAACACAGTGCCCAAGCAGCTGAGAGTGCTGCTGCTCTGTGCCTGGTTTGCTTTTCTTCCCTGGACTTACTTTCCTAAAACAAAGAGAACACGGCCATTTCCTAAAACAAAGAACACAGTCAATACTTTGGCTCAGATCACCATCTCCTGAGGGATAACGTGAACCCTGTTCAAATTAACCTGAGCAGTGCCTGTTTTTCTAGAAAAGTCACAGCAAAGCCCCAGTGGGAGCACATGCTCTTCCAGTGACAATGAAATCAAGCGAGACAACTTACTGGGCCACAGCTCTGAAAATGTCAAGGGTAAAGTCGAGGTTATTTACATGAAAGGTGATAGAAAGCATTATTGTTCTGTGTAAGACTAGAAAGCAGAATCCTGTCCTAGGGCTGTTACAATAAAAATTGCAGGCTTCTTATTAATCCCTGGGACATCAGAGCAAACTTCAGGTACATGCATTATTTGATCCCTACAGCGTGGGAGACAGGCCTGTGCAACACAAAGTCGGGAGAAGAAGCATTTTCAGGGGCATTAGTAATATGTGGGTAGTGTTTTCCACAACCTACAAGGGAGGGGAGGGGAAATGAGGGACCAGAATATAGTACAGATCCTTTTTTTTACATTTTATGCCAGAGGTTCCAGGGGATTATTTCTATGCTCTTACGCACAGCAGTTCAGTCCCTGGCAGAGGCATTTACCCTTGTATGTCTGTGCTTTGTCAGGTGCACAAGAGAGGGAGATTTTTCTCATTAAATCCCCTCTCCAAAGCATGTTCATTATCCTCTTGAAGTGTGTCAGGTGCCCACAGTGCTCATAACTGTGGTAGCACCCAGCAAAACTTCATTTTCTCTTATTTTGGATATGGTAAAATCAGATTTCCAGAAGTCATATTCAGGGCAATAAGCTAAAGATCTGCTTTTCACTGCTTCTCATTTCTCTTTCAAAATAAAAGAGAGCTTTTTCTGCACAATTCCCCCTCTGGGTATAGCCCCCTGATGGGCCTTTTAGGAATCTCTCTAATTTGGCAGCACACAAACTGTGCTTGAACAAATGCACATAGAAGCCACGTCTGTGCTCCTATTGCTGTGCACTCAAGAGGCATCAAGCTTAACAGCCAGGGTTTAAGTTTTTGTTGAAACAGGAAAGCACAGGATGGGAACAGACAGTTCAGAGACATCATTACAAATTTTTTGCAAAAATAATTCCCAAAACAGAGCCCATTGCCATTACAGCATTACATATGTCAGTGTTTTTGGGCATAGTCTCTGCTCCAGTTAGGGAACTTATACTGCATTAGAAACAATTAAGAGGAGCCCAGGCTACAGCATGAAACCAGCACCATGTAAAGGGCAAAGCCTATGGCCAAGCAGAAGAATGTAGATTCATCCACAGCTATATGAGTTTCTCTTCTTCCCCTTGGGGTGAGGGTGTTACGTTAAGACTTTAAGGGCCAAGATCAGAACCTGCTCAGCTTGTTACTGGTAGCATCTCATTATAAGGGACAGCTGGGTCAAGCTTTGAGTTTGATTGGGAATTTACACAGTCTGTTCCCATTTAAAGCAGCGGAGCAGCTTACTGGACCTAAGCAAAACAAAGACCATTATATAGAATTGTTTAGGACTGGTATTTTAAGTGGTTATTTTTTTAGTTTGGAGGTAGTTTCTTGATTGTTTGTCCATCTCCCTCTGAATCCCAACTGCCAGCCCTCAGATTAGCCTTATATTTCCACTATACTAATCTGTGTACATTGACCTGAATCATAGAGTAGTACCAGAAATCAGCACTTGAAAAAACCAAGAATTCCTCCCTGCTTTGCTCTATTAAGTTGTTTCCCCAATGCAGCATTACATCACCTTGTGTGCTGACCTCATCTTGACTTAACACAATGTGACTTGTCACAACAGAAGCCACTCATCCCAAGGCAGCCGTGTGTCAGAAAACATCAGACTGGAAATTTCAGATCTCCAAAGGCCCATACAGTCGCCTTGTTGCAGTCACAAAACCACAACAGACAATGAACATCTTACAAAGCTGCTTTTGTGATAATTTGTTTCTTCTTATTAAAGGGGATTTAGCATCCCTCTAAAACTGCCCTCAAACACTGCAGCTTGTGACAGCACTCCCATGACACTTGGGAGCATGAATAAGTCTGCACTATTACAGGACTAGAGCATTGCAATGGCAGAAAACAACAACTGAGAAAAGAAATTGGGTGATTACCATTATAAATTAAAAGTACAGGCCAAGAAACGCAGTTATATGGTCATACAGGAATTAGCCCTTGAATCCCAACAGTTCTCTTAATAAACCAGCATTATGCTTTCTTGGCCTGCCCACAAAGATTAAAGTGTCAATAACCTACATAACACAGACTGACAGAAACATAAACCCCAAATCTACCTACATGCTACTAAATATCTTCTGCTTATCTCTATTATCTGGAGAAGAACGAACCAGGAAAGGCAGATGATTGATAAGGGGGGTGTCTCCACGGGCACAGGGGCAGCTGCAAATCATTGTGCAGCTGATGCCGATTTAGAGGTAAGTTTGCACCAGAAAATAGGGGTGGAAATGCTTAAAGGGGAAGCTGTTTTCTGGCAGCATCCAAATGTGCATTCAGTGAGCAGAGCAGACAGCATTCAAACTGTGTAATCTGATGGCTCCAGGGGAAGCTATTGAGGGAACTGGTCACTCCTCTCTGAAGCACTAATGGTCTCAGTGCTGGCCAACATGCCCTGCAGCACAGGCTACATTTCCATCGCTATCTGCTTGTCAAGGAATTGTGAGGAATATTTTTAGCGTGTTTTACTGATTTCTGTTTATCACTGAGCCTGTGTAAGCCAGGGATTCATTTTCACTACCTTGTATCATCCTGTACAACACTAAGCACTCAGAACCTTGAACAAAATGCAAAAGTAACCCAACTAAATTTTTTTTCACCTTAACATCCACACGCCTCAGGAGCCTTACTCACTATCTCCGACACATAGGTACTATGGAGCTGAGCCAGGGAAGCATCCTCACCAAACTGAGAGCAGGAAACCTCACAGAATCATACCCAGCACCCATCCAAGCAGCAACTGGCAACACTTTGTTCTGAAGAGCCCCACACATGCAAAATAGCACAGAGTTTTAGTCCTTGTCCCTGGGGAGGGAAGAACAGCTGGCAGTTTTTCAGAAACCCTGTTTCTGGAATTGGCCTGGCTTCCTGTCCCAGGTGTCCATCTTCTTCAATGGGAGACTCCCCCAGGCTGGCATGAGGCAGCAGGTTTTCCCTGGGAAAGCTAAGCTGTGTCGGGGGAATGTTTCCCCCTCACCATTCACAGAACTATTTGTGTGCATAAGTTCAAACACATTCTGAAATGGTGACAGGACAACTGGGGCCTCAGCTGCCCTCAAAGATTGTCATTTTAATGCAAGAGCAAGCAGAAACAGGCAACCAGGACAACAGAGAGAAGGGGAAACAAATACAGACAACAGATAAAATCAGAAAACCCCAAGGAAAGCTTTTATTTGAATATCTGCTACTTGATTTCAAGCTTGATCAGAAATTTTTTCCATGTTATCATGAGATACTGCAAGGAGCATCCCTTAATCTCATGTCCTTTCTCCCCAGAAGTTCTTTATTATATATGAAGGCTACTTTTGGCTCTTGGACGCAGATTCATTGCTCTCCCTGAAGGGAACAGACCTTAGCTCTGGACCCAAGAGTAACAGATGCCATCAGTGTGAGTCACAACAGCCACAAAGTTTGTCACAAGCAATCATAAAGCTGATCTAAAAGTCTCCCCCAGTGGAGAGGAGAATATTAATGACTAAAACTCCAATGGCAATGTTCTCTCGAGCATTTCACAGCAGGAATTTGCCTCAGTAAGAATTGTGGAGTTGGCCTTGGATACAAGGGAAATCTTATTTAGAAGTCCCTTATTAAAGTTATACAGCAATGCCACAGGGCACAGAATGAGATTTCATCTGTTTAATTTATATTGATTTAAGGAAACTCTGATTTGCTCCCTGCTCTCCCTATGTCTCAGCTCACAGAGCAACCTGATGCTCTTGCATCCTATTTCCAGCATAGCACAGGGCAAGAACTGTTTGCTTACAGTGACTAAAAAACCCACCACCTTTAGATACCATCACTTATGGACCAGGTTAGTGTTCCATCAGTCCCTGCAGAGTACTGGTTCCACAGAAAAGCTGACAGAAGTGGCACCAGATAAAGTTCAAGGTCAGGAACGTGATGACAGCAGAGAGAAGCAGCTGGAGCAGAGAGGAAGACAGTGCCAGAGGACGAGGACGACGGTGTACGGCTCCTTACTTTTAACGGGTCCCCTGGGAGATGCTGCGATTGAGCCCCTCTCTCTGGCTGTGTCTCCTTCTCTAGTTTCCTTTTTTGGTTCCTCTCCATCCAAACATCATCGAAGCTGAAGCACTTATAGAGGGGTTTAGGTCTCTTCCTCCTCCTCTCTGGAATCTCCTTAGCTTTTTCATCTGGAGCAAGGCAGGAAAGCCTCCAGGCTTTGCTCTCCAGGGTGGAGCCAGGGCGAGGGGATGGTGGGACCCGGGGGGGCCTCCTTTTGCGGTGGGGAACCCACTTCTTATTTGGCCTCTTTTCAGGTGCAGTTTGACATTGCTGTCTAGACTCCTGTTTTACAAACAGCAGGTGAAAACACAGGGTTTGCTGGATGGAAATGTTGTTTGCTTCAAGTCAGTTTGAACAGAAGATGGCAAAGCACAGTTATCCAGCTCCAGAACTACTCAGAAGAAAACACTTGGGAGGACTCCACTCTGGAGCAGCAGCTCTGTGATCCTTTGAAAGTGCAATATGTACTCCCTCTGCACAGGACAGGGCCCTTTTCACCCTCACTCTAGATGGCATATTACAATAACATTACTACTAGGATTTAGGTCACTCTGTCTGTATAATATTATTTACAAAGACAGTATCTCTGAAAATAGGAAAATGACCTCCTGTCTGTCTCTGCTTTTCTGACTGTACTTCAGTTATATAATGTGAAAAGGCTTCCTAGATGCCTGCAGGTCTGATATACCAAGCCCTGTGTTTCCTGATGTGCTCTTTACGCTATCCATTTTATTTGCTTGATGCTGGGCCAAGAGTAAGGAATTGAACAGGTTTGCCTTTCACTCTCATTGAGTGGTGCACAAAATTACAGCTTTTACACTAGAACAGCTGGAAAGCAAGTGTGCCCTGAGGCAACCAACGACTATTCCAGGTAGCATCAGTGTTAGAATCGATAATATTTAAGGTGGGAGACACTGACACTGGGGAATGAATGATCTCAGGAGTCTCTTTTCATGACAAATAAAATGCTCTATCTTGATAGTTGTATCTGTCCAGTTTCCCACAGTTCCTTTGAAGAACCCCAATAAAACCAAACTCCAGGCACTTCCTATCTATTCTCAACTAACCAACAATTCCAGATCAGTTCTTCTTGCCCCGGTAAGAGATGCCACAGTCTAGAAACAGTAGTTGCTGTGAAAAAGGAAAGTGTTTCCTGCTGGTGTTCTGTGCCTAATGCCATCATACTGGAGAGGGGCAAGGAGAATGTGCAAATTCCAAACATGGGACATTTTAGGACAGTTTGCGCTTGCCTGCTGAATAACACAATTATGTAAGTAAAATCATGCCACAAACAGATTAATTAAACATGTAACGAAGTTCCTGACAGATGGGCAAACTGGTAATGGTTCTGTCTTGTTGTTTTCTGCATAAAATCTTTGTCCTGGAGGTAAGCTGAAGAATGCTGAGAATGTTAACCACTAGCAGGTACTCAGAGAGGGGCTGCTCTGTGCCCCACCAGGCGAAGAAGAGTTACTTACCAAGGTGGCATCCAGAGGTGTCCAGGACAAGCTGATCCAGTGCAGTTTGGCACAGCACTGTAACACAGATAAAGCCACAGCACTGGAAAAAACACCTGGCTGGGGGCTTGGGGAATATGTACAAATCCCCTACTGGAGGGCACATTGGGAAGTGAACTCAAGAACTTCACAATTATGCATTTGTTTTGAAATAATGTCTTTTCTATGTGGAACAGAAAAGAAATTTTCTCCAAATCCACTGATAAACTTAATTTTATGACCTCTTTACTAAGCAGCATACATCGGGAAGGCCATGCTTAGTGCATAGAGGACAATTGTGCTGGGAAGACTTAACACTGTAAATATACTTTGCCTGATGTCTCTGTTGTATTTTCAGGGATTCCTGAAAAAAACAACTTCAGTTACAAAATCCAGGGTGCAGCTCTACTTCATTTCATGAAAATGGAAATAAATAAAGCCCTATCTGCTTTACTATATTAGATCTTATGTTTTAAAAACTGGGACATTTACATTAATTTCCAGGCTCCAGTTACATTTGCCCAATTTCAGATATCATATTTTGCAGCCTCCAGAAGAATCAGGAAAATTAAACTGGTTTTATATGGCTTAGATACCATTTAAATTTTTTATGGTTTTCTTTGAATAATTTAATCTAGCAATCAATTTAAGTAATTATTTATTTGCTTCTAATGGTTACATTATAGGATGTGGGCTTGCCTATTCAAGGCTTTACACATGCCACATCTTTCCACTCTTTTCTAGATGTTCTTTTGAGCTATTATTTACAGGTCAGTGATTTTATTCACCCTCTGAGAGGCTTCATCTGTTGACAGCATGTATAGTCCAAGTCTCTTGCTTTTTCCTAGGCTGGTGTAACACTGCAGTGTCTTATCTGGAATGTTGTGTCCTCTATTATGTTTGTAGGTTAAGTTGATGCCCACGAAAACAAAAGATTTTCAAGTAAAGCTGACCACAGAGGGGAATAAAGTAAATTCTCTTCCCTATTTTCCACCAGCAATTCTGGTACTACAGCCCTCACTTCTCCAACTGCCACCCATACACTTCTTTGGATCAGCTAAAAACCCCAAGCCAGTCAACCAAAACACTTTCACTGGGAATATGTGCAGAGAGGTTGAGGCAACTGGGTTTATTTAAGCTCATAAGAGGGCACTGGAGGCAATATAAGGGCAGTCACCAACAACTTTATATTTACATGGATGAGGGATCAAACTCCTCTCAGTAATGCTAGACAATGACACAAGGCAGTGGCCAGAAACTGTAGCTTGGAAAGTTCTGGTTGGGCACTAGGAACAAAAAATTCTCCAGGAACATGTTTCCCAGAAAGGTATTGAAATCATCAGCAGTGGAGGTTTTCAAGACTTGATTAGGCAAAGCCATGGTTTGGTCTATCTGGTGGTGCCATTAGTTGTGTATGCTCCTACCAACCATTTGTTTGTTTGTGTCTACACAAAAAACCAGGAGCTTCTACGAAAAAAGTAGGAAGAAGGGGTAGGCTAAGATCATTTTGGAGGGTATCAAAACTTTTGTGTACACTGGGATGTGAGAGACAAAAGGCAACAGCAGCAAAAGCTGTGTGAGGGCTCATTTAGATTTTTGTGGCAAATCCTCCCCTAAAGAGTGCATCAATTCATATAGTCCTGGACAGAAACAGAAAGGATAAGTAGTGCTACCTGTCTCAGACCAAGAGGAATATTAATGTGCCCATCTAACCAATGTGTTCATTGAGCCATTAAGGAGTTTCACTGGAATTCCTAAGCCATATTAAAGCAAAAGACTGCAAACCACACCACCCTCTGATCATTCCCAGACAACAACTCACCTCATCTTGGAGCATATCACTAACGGAAGAAGCTGTATTTAAGCTGATCTGGGATTGACTGCTTATGCCACTGTCATCCCTTTGGTATTCGGCGTCCAATGAGTGCACAGAAAGTAAGAGACTACCTCTGGGTTTCAATGTCTTTGGTCTCTCAGGAGCCTCCAAATTGCTTTCAACTCCAGGGCTGTTCCCAAGAGAAATCATCGAAGTGGCACATACTCTTCCAGGATAACGGAAGGTCCTCTGGTGAGAAGTGGATCGTGGACTCTGCGGTTTAGGACTCATGGGCCTACAAGGCATGTCTTTACCATTGGAATTTGAGTGGTGGGGACATGATGGACTTGACTGACTGAATGCCAACTGCAAGTCAGTGGGGCTAAATGGAGATTTCATCCAGTATTCTTCTAGGGAAGTATTTAAACTGTTGCTGAGAACCTCCTGCTGCTCATCACAGTCAGAACTCTGTGAGTATTTAATGCCCAAGTCATGGGACTGTACTCGTCTTCTCCACATACCTGCAGGTGAAGAGACATCAACAGGTTCCACAGAGTTGTCAAAATAGTTGGAGCCACTATCTGCTTCTGTTTTAAAAAACGTGTGTCCATTGGAACTACCCTGTCGTTCTACTGGTGTTCTCATCACGTGGCCACCACTTGCACTCAGACCCTCCTGTGTCGGTGATAAACTTGCTAAGACAGGCCTTTTTAGTCCATCTGCCTCCTTGCTTTTTAGAAAAGCTTTCCAGGTGCTCTGGCGAAGTTTGGCTTTCTCCTTTTCATTTTTCAGTGATACTCTCGAACTTTGCTCAGTGTTTTCCTTTTCTGTAGATCTCGACTCAAATAAGCTTGAGAGGGATTTGTGTGCCAAGGCCAACCTTGTCTTGAACTTCTTGCCCTCAGGGGTTTTGTTCCTTTTGTATTCGCTTTCAGGGAATGATTTTCTAATCCCAGAGTGCTCCACAGGTTCACCATCATTGTTTTCAGATGAACCTGAAACATGTCGATCTGCATATTTGACAGGTCCCAAACAGGGAGAAGTTGAATTCATATCTCTGTCTTCCATCAGTATCCGACCAGAGCCAGAGGCCTTCCTCAGGCTCAATCTGTTGAATAATCCTGGGGGTCTCTCATAGAATAAATCATCATCATCAGAGTACTCTGAGGTGTAACTTTCCTTCCTGTGGAAGACTAAACCAGATGGACAGCTTTTCAAAGACAGTAAACTTGCAGTGTCTTCATCATCTTTCCCAGCTTCCAGCTCTTCTATCTTTGCCTTGCTGCCAAAGAAACTGCTACTTCCCTGATTTTCTGCTGTGGCAGGCTTAGTTTTCCTGAAAGATGTCATCTTTGAGAATACTAAAAACCTGGAAGCTTTCCCACTATTCTCATTCTTTGTTGGCTTCTGCACTGCTTTATAGAGACTGCTGTTACTTCCCAGGATGTGGGATAAGTTGTCATCCATTTCCTCGCTGTTAGTGCTGCAGGTACTTATATTATCCAGGCCCAGCATGCAAGTGTTATGGATCTCCCTGTTCACAGACTCATCAAAGACATCAGACACATCTAGACTGAGTGCACTGTCTTTGCTGGGGTTAGCAGTGTCTTCTGCAGCAGAGCCCTGCCTTCCTTCCCTAGGAGAAGGTCCTTCACAAATACCTGTTTCTTCCTTTGAGCCATTACAGCCTTCATTTCCTTGCCTGCCTACTGCTTGTTCAGAGACAATGCTGGGCCCTTGAAGGTCATCAGCACCATCTCCCGGACACAAACTGCTTACACTGCTGCTCGTTTCCAGTGTAGCTGCACTAATTATATATAAGCCTTCCTCTCTGCCTTGATGTGCTTTGAATTCCTCTTCCTTAGAGGAATCTCTTGTTCCAGGCTTTCTGGAGCCTGACTGTCTGAACTGTTCTAATTCAAAATCAGTCTGTGTTCTGCAGGGCTCTTCCTCAGAGACCTTCACACCACCTGTACTGTGTGATTTTATGAGCACTTCTTCACAGGGACCTGTCTGACTTTCTGCACTAAGTGTATCATTGCTCAGTGGTACAGTAACACTCCTGAATTCCACTTCCTCACTTGTTACTGTGGGATTACTACAGGTGAACCCTAAGGATGAAACTGCATCGGTTTTTTCTCTTTTCTCTTCTGAAACTTCTGGTTCTACTTTAGCTGTATCCCTATCAGGGGGTACCTCTGCACTGCCAGGAATGGGATGGGTGGCCAGAATTTGTTCTTTACGGATACAGTTTTCACCAAGAACTCTCTCTGGCTCATCATGAACTTTGTTCACAGTACAAAGAGATATCAAATCCCTCCTCACTACATTTCTCAATCTCTTGGTTACCACTTCAGTAGGAAGGTCATCATTCAGTGTCTTGGACTGTAATCCTTTCTGCTCTACAGAGACTATAATTAGTGCAGGCTTTAACTCTGGAACCATCATTAGATCCCTCCTCTGGCTTATATAATTTGATCTGGGAGTCCTTTCAACAGCAAAGGCGCTGTCACTGTCTTCATCCTTTCCCTTATGAGTAGGATGTTCATTTGTTACTAGCTCAGAGTCGCTCCTTAAGGTACCAGTTTTGCAACTTGTATTTTGCTTCAGTGGCTCTTCGTGCTCTGTCCCAGTGTCACTGCCACCTGATTGTACTGTGGTTTCCAGGAATTTCCAACCAAAGTCAAGATTAGAAGAATGATCTGCCCATCTTTCTCCTGCCACAATTGTCATACCTGACAGTTCTGATTCAAGGCCATTCTCCTTCAAACATTTTTGGTCTATTCCACTATTGGAAACACAGTTTACAGAATAATCCCAATCTCTGTTTTCCACAACAGCAGGAAAACTTACATGAGAAGCTGCAAGGTTCTCAGTGCCACCAGTGCCCAATTCAACATCAGTATCACAGGGGAATCTGCCTGCTTCCAGAGCTCTTTCAGCTTTGTACTCATCACTTTTTATGAGTTCTTCAGCGTTTATGGTCACTGGCTCACAGTCCAGGGCAGAGGAAGTCTGCTTTTGTTTGGGGCTGCACTCACAAGCATCACCCTGTGTTAAGCTGTCAGCACAGGTACCGACTGGCTCTGGGTTCAGGCCACATGTCTCTGATTTAGAGTGCAAATAATAATCAATGCACTGGGGAGAGCCTGCTGGTTGAGAAACCTGACACTCCTTTGAGTTCGTGTCAGTATCAAGAAGAGATCTTTTTATGCCAAACTGACCCTCTATTTTTATTGCTGGCTCAGGGCTTATAGGTACCCTTCCTAAGTTTTTCCAAGTGCATTCAAAATCCAACCCTTGAAGATGTATTCTGGAACATGACCATCTGAATTTGTTTGTAAGGTGAATGCAGCTCCCCACATATTCTGTCTGGCTTTGAACACTGATGTTTTCAGGTACACTGTGCCATGTTTTACTTTCTGTAATCTCTGACCTTGTGTGTGGTGGCCGAGATTTTGGTTTGAAGCAACTCTGGTAAAAGAGTGAATCTGATGTCAGCATAGTCTCTGTATGTCCATGTTTTATCCTTTTGCCTGTAGTTTCCTCACTGTCAGCTGAATTCCTCCTGCTGCATTTTATACTGGACATAGAATCTAACTCACACTTATAGTCAGATGTCTCAGTGTAACTTTTAGAGTTAGGTCCATTTGTTTCAAAATGAAGATTAGGTAAACTATAGCTAGACACTGCATCTGACTGGAAGGAAAATTGCTGTACCTCAGGAAAAATCAAACAATTTTCTGAGTTTGCTTTGAAACAATCAATGCTTAATACTGCAGGATGTTCCCTCTGTCTTGTAATATCATCTTCTGTAGGTACTGGATTGGTACAGGATTGCACTTTAAAGCTTTCTAACTCTGCTTTATTTTGCAATGCTGCCACAGAACTTCTCTTTGCCTGTGATACAATGCCCTCTTCATGGAATTTGTTCTCTGTGATAGAAATATCACTAGAGAATGTTTGTTCTTCATCACCCAGTTCTTCACCTTCTGCCCTTGCTGACTGTACACAAAATTCAGTCTTGCTTGGTGCTGCTTTTATTTTGTAGGACAATCCGAACTGTATGTGCTGGGTGAATTCTGGCTGCCTGGAGCACTTCAGTCCATGGAAGGTTGTTTCTGCCCTTTCTTTGGGAAAATTACAGCCCAGGGTTTTTTTTTCAGTGAACAGGCAGTTTGAATCCAAGCAAGTGTTCCCAGCTATGTCACTAGAAAGAGATTCTGTATCTGATGCACTCTCGTAAGGCTCAGTTTTTACATCTGACAAAGATCCACTCTGATGTGACACGGTCTCAAAATAATCTTCATCTGTTTCTTGGCTGGATCCACGTACCTCCAGCTCTGTTGTGCTTGGGGTAGAAGTACTCAGATCGTCCTCAAACTCTCCTTCACTGATGTAGTTTTCAACTGGCTGTGGGGTCTGTGAATAAACAGAAAGGAATGCTTTAGCAGTGATTTCCCATAGCAGCAGGGCAACATGAATTATTATTAGAAAAGGGACTTCGGAACAAAATTAATTTAATACACACTGATGTCTTTGAAAGTTATACTTGATGTTTTACTTATTGATGGTCCTGAGGTCTTGTTCTTTCTATTTCTTACTTTTCTTTTCCTTTAATGGTTCTTAAATAATCTTTTTTTATTTGATATGCAATTGTACAGAAGCCAAAATTTTACTTTTGGCCATATCTTTCATAGCCCATTACCAAAACACATTTCACATTCAAATACATCAAATGAAAATCACCCCTTGACAGTAGATCTAAAAACTAATGAACCCATCTTCAAATCCAAGGAGGAGGTTTATGTGGAAAACCTGAGAAGTAATTGTTAGTGTCTGCATTAGAGAAATCTGGCATAAAAATACGCAGAAACTGCACCTGAGTAACCAGATATTACCCATACCAAAGCCTGACCCAGAGGTGAAAGAAGCCTTAGATCTCATTTTCCAGAAGGTTTATACCAGGAGCACTACATGTATGAGTTATCAGAGCACATCCGAATCAGTGGCTCAGAGCAGAAAGATCAAACTGTCAATATTAGGAAATGTCTTTGTCCCAGACAGCTGCCCTGGGAGAGCCTCAGTCTTCTTTTCTTCAACCATCAGAAAGTTGTCTGGATGTTTCTTAGGATTGAAACAGATAATGAAATCACAGCAGGCTTTCAGGAGGTAAAAATAGTACTTGCTGTCTGTCAGCTTCACATTCCGCTATTGTCAGAAGTTCTACAAATGTACCCAACAAAGATATTTAGCTGATTCCAGCTTCAGTCCATTAATATCTAGAATGAGATGCCACGTAAGTATAAATGGCAGCCTTTAACCCTAATTCTGGATGCTTCTTTAACCAGGTTTTGGTAACATTCCTCACAAGAATCATTGGCACATTTTAAAATCTGAAAACTGAGATAATAAACAATGAAAGACTTTTCTAAATAACAAACAAACCAAAAACCACCACAAGTGAATGGCAGCCATCAAACTAGAACACAAGATCCTTCAGCCTGACTTGCACATCAGGGTGCTTTGTCACAGAGGAAGTGTGAGTCCTCATGTGGGAAGCCAAATTCCAGATCACATCAAAAGATATGTCACAGAGTTTCTGATTCTAGGCACCAAAACATAGAGGGTAAACTGGAAAAGGGAAGGCACAAGAGTTATTTCCAAATGGGATCTCAATAAGAAGACTGGTATTTTCTCTTGACAGAAGAAGGAAAATACAAATTGAATGGAGGAGGGAAGGGGGAGAATTTAGTGTTTTAAACCAAGTCCAAAAATCACTTTCACACCATAAACCTGACCAAATTGCACTATAGTGGCACATGAGTCACATAACCAGCAGAGCAATATGTCCATTACTGTGTGCAATCAGTGACACATGTAATTGAGTTCCTTTATTAGTGTGAAATCCCACTATCACCAGGACAGAAATGACCAGCACAGAGCAGCATTTCACATGGTGACAGCACTGCACAGAAAGTGAGCGTTGGCTCTCACAGCAGTGACTGCAGCAGCAGCTGCTCACAGTGACAGCACTGCCTCCGCAACACTGTTCTGAGCACAGATTTACAGATGGCCATAAACTGAGATAAAAACTGTTCAGGCAAGGAGGAACAAAGTAATGAAGATGACTGACTGTCCTCAAGAATGATTATGAATTAAATTACAAAAAAAATTGGGGCAGAAATCCCTTACAGCCCATCTATCATTCCAAACATAGCTACGTCAAAATATTCATACTGTGAGCCCTCCCAAATTCATTATTTGTTTTTAATGGGTATTACACAAAATTTTGCATTTAAAGCAGAAGCATAGGCCCCACAATTGCCTCCATAACTTGTGGGGAATGAGGAAACAGCTTCTAGGTATGAAGGGCACCAATTAGTGTCAACCAGCACTCCTGGACCAGGCCCAAGACTGAATATGTGCCCCAGTGCTGCTGAAGGGAAGAGTCACTGCCAGGATCAGCCTGGGGCCACCTCTGCCAGCTGTGCCCTGGGATAGAGTTCCCTTGAGGAGGGAGAGGATGTGGAAGCTTCAGTTCCCACCAAGTTTAGCAAAGTCCTCTGCCTAACAGACAGGGGAGGCCTAGAGCTGACCTCTAGTAAACCTGACATTCATGAGCTCACTAAACTTCCCGCGGTGACCAGGGAAGAAACCCTAACAGGGCAAACAATGTGCAGATGGTGCCATTTGTACCTTCTTCCATGGGTCTTTGACTTCTCAGCATCTCCAGGAGGCCAGGCCTTTGCTCTGACCATGTGCTCTGTCATATGTGGTTTTATTTTCTCCCAACCTGTAGTGTGTGTTTTGTTAGGGTTTCTGCAACTACTTCTCATGATGTTTTACTGGGGGGTTAAGGACTCACTCAGAGTATAAGGGGAAAGTTTACAATGGGCTCTGATGCAGCCCTGTGATCCCAACACAGACAATCACAGGCTCAGGAACTGAGCAGATGTGTGGCAGTGATTCTCAACTAGGCTTCTGATTAGACAACAGTTCCCATGCCTTTAATTTCCATAAGATTACACTGAGAATTTCAAAAGACAAATGACAGCTTTTTCCTGGGAAGAGTTCTTGAGAAAACCCTCAGTATCCGTGGACAGAGTTGTGTGCTTATACATTTCCTCAATCTCAGAGCAGATAAACAGTTGGAAGAAAGGGCTTGAAATAAATATGAGAAACAACTGCCAAAGTAAGGCTTTTGCACTTCACAGACAATAGAAAAACAACAGCAAAGCTGCCCCTGCCTGCTTTTCTCTTGCATCTCTTTCACCAACTCTGAAATGTGCCAAGAAAACAGGATGAAGCTGAAATTACTGATCTGTCCTGTTATCATTGCATGCAGCCATGTATTATCACAACCTAAAGTCACCAGAAAACCAGACTTATAACTTTGTTGTGTGGAGATCTCTATCTCCATAACATAAGACGCCTTCCATCCAAGTTACTCTCATATGTGACATCTGCTCCCACGGGCTCAGTGCTCCTGTCTTGTGAACACTTCTAATTTGGTGGAGAAGTCATGTATCATTTTTTCTCTAAATCAGATTTGGTATTTGAATAATTTTCTCACACAATATTATATTGTGCCAATTGTAAGTTTTGTATTGTATCTCCCTAATTTTCTCTGCCTAACAACTAGCAGGATATGTTAAGCAGACAATTGTTTTACTTCAACTAGTCTTTTAATTAAGGATTTTATCCTTAAATCTCACAACCACAAAAAAGAATCTGACCATTTATATGATCTTTGCTTTTACTTTGAATGCAAGTTCCCTAAGCAAGCCTAACTTGCTTTCCCACTAACTTGTGCCTGACTTTAGTTATTACCTCATTTCCAGCTCAAGGAACATCACAGAACAGTTTTTCCCTGAACTCAAGACAACATGAAAGCATTTTCAGTTGATATTTCAAAGGATTCAGACAACTGTTTTCTCCATAGGTGGTGTTGATAACATCAAAATCTTGAGTTGTTATCAGTATACATTTCATGACTCTCCCTTCATACCTTGTCTGACCGAAAGGGACAGTGCAGCATCTTTGATTTGCAGTGTAATGAGACTAAAAGGCAGTTCCCATGAACACAGGTGGAACAAGCCAGCCATCCTCTCTGCTCAGTGGGCCTCAGCCCTGCTCATGAGGTAAAGGAAATGTGCAGTTCCCAGGGCAGGCATCACTTACAAAGGGTCTCATCCTGCAGAGTGCTGTGTGCTCTGCACTCCTGCTGATGCAGGTACAGGTGAGCTCAGGACACTCAGGATTTGGCTGTGCCTACTTCAGTACTTCAGTACTCCTGGTGGGGTTATCTACATGCTCTCTCTCCATCACTGTCTTTGAGAAGGGCAACGCTAATATAGCCAGTTAAAAAGAGTGGGGAGAGAGAAAGATAGATGAAGCTAGTGGGTAAAACTGGCCTTTCACTGGCAATACAGGCTGTTAACAGAGCTGCTTCAGGCTCCATTTGTAGTGTCATCTAGGGTTACTTGTATTGGTTTAACTTGTGTCCTATATATTTTAAAAATAAGCTGAGTGGAATTGCTGAGTCTCTAAAGCTCCTCATTGCTTTCTCACAGAGAGTGACTGGGTATGAAATTCTGAAATTCTCATGACAGCTAAATGGAAAATATTTGAGGCAATCTAACATGGTAGCATGAAACTCATCCACCCTCAGTGTAATGAGAGCTGTGAAAAGCTGAGCTTTCTTCTACAACCAAGTAGGGTCTTAGGTGGCCTAAATAGCTTTGAAAAATACTGGTTGTGGAACTGCCATTATTGTCATTATGGATATCCTGAGTTGAGGGTACAGAGGAAAAACCAAAGGTGTGTTCAGTCACAGGACAGAAACAGCATTCAAAATACCCAGTTTATCCTTTTGTGCCTTTGATACACCTCTGCTCATAGAGGTACAGCCTTGGAGAGAGAGAGAGGAATCTGGCCTCCAGGCTTTGGTTTCTCCAATTGGGCTGGCAGAGGTTGCCCAAGGTAATGTCACTTCTAGAAACTTGGATGGTTGCCAGGTTGGAAATGCCTGGAAAGATCTAAGACCACCAAGCCTTTCCAGAAGAACTGCCACAGAAATGGCTTTTCACAAACTAAGTTATCTTCTTGGATTTAAAGCAAACACAGCACAAAATTGTTCCTCTTCACAAAAACTTCTGTCACAGGGTTCAGAAGTGGTTCATGGCAATGATGGAGCACAGCTGCCATCCCAGGGAACCAGTCACACTACCTCAATCACCACAGAGCTATAAAGAAAAAGCCCTTCAAACACATTTGTGGAAAAGATATAGACTCAGAATTAATGGTCTCAACTTACCTACACTTTTCCATGCTTAAATAAATGCAAAGCCTGAAATCCTTAAAGCAAATTAGATGCCAGTCAGGGGTTGGATTATACATGCAATAAAGAGACATAGGCC